CAATACTGACCACCAAAACATAAATGAGTTAAATGCGGGTGCAGAATGCGAATGAGGAATCTCGCAGAATGAACCAGCATGATATACCACTTGGTTCTAGGTGCATGCTGGTCATGTTTTATCAGGTATTAACTTACCTCATTGGTGAAAAAAATGAGGCAGAGAAAATTTAAAAAGAGAAAACAAAACAAAACAAAACAAAATGTCTTTTATATCTCCTCAAATTAAGTTGAGTATGTTGAAGGGAATCTAGAAGAGGAAAATGTATTTAAGACCTGTACTTCTAGAAATATGAAAGTCAAAAAAGAAGATACTTAAAAATGAAGAGGTGGTAAAATATTGTAATTAAGGTGGGAAAAGAGAAAGAAAAAGGTAACTTAGTCTGATATAAAACGAGTTGTACTGGAAAAAAGAAGAAAAAAAGGGAGGGGTATCCTCTGGTTCTATATACTGTAAATCCCTGGAATTTCCCTGCAGCTTTCCAGTGCTGATGGGTCAAGAACTTGCTCTTCCCCCGTCCTTCCAGTTGGTCTTCTGGGGGAGGGGCCTTCTGTGCTGATCGTCAGGTTTGTGCACCTGTGGGAGTTGCCCTGTCCCCTGCCAGGTGCACGGCTCAGTGAGAGCTGTTTATCCTGCGAGGCCCCTGTTCCCTGGTGGCCCCGCTCCATCCCAGGCACAGGGTGACACCAGGAGGAATGACAACACTGGGGACAGCCAGCCTTTCTGCTCTGGAGTCAGCTCCTCTCAGTAACTACCATAGTCTCCCAGTGCACACTGGCCTGGATGCTCCAGGGGTGGGGGGCGCTTATCTGCACAGCTCGGGGCGCTGGGCGGCAGGAGAGTCCTTACTGTCCTGTGCCCTCCCTGTCTCCACCTGTACCAAGGGGACCGCAGGATCCTGGGCTGTGTCTCCCAGGCCCCTGGGATCCGGGGCCTGTGCTGCTGGAATTGCACTCCCGGAGCCGTGGCTCCCGAAGGCAGCAGGGCGCAGACCCCTCCACCGGGAGCCACCGACTCACTGACAAGCTTCTCCCTGAGGCCCTGCTGGACACGTCCTGTACCAAGCTCAGCCCACAGTCTGTGGGGCGCTCTCCCCAGGAGTACACCTCCTCTGTTAGTGACCCCGGGAGACTGGGGGCTCCACTGCCCCTCCTGTAGTTCTGCCTGATTTCCCTGCTAAGCACCTTTCAGTCGGAAAAATACGGTGCGGATTTTTAAAGTCCCTGCTTCTCCGGGGCTGGGCTTTCCTGTCCTGAAGGCTTTCGCCGCGGGGACTTAGCCTGGCTCCTTGCGGGGCCCCTCCCCCATTTGATTCTTTTTTTTTTTTTTTTTCCACTTTCCTACCCTGTTAGAAGTGAAAACCCTTCTCTCTGTAGCATTCCAGCTGTTCTCTCTTTAAATCTCAAATCAAATTCATAGGTTTCAGGATGATTTGAAAGTTATCTAGCTAAGTTGATGGGGACAGGTGACTTGGGGACCCTACTCCTCCGCCATCTTGCCCTGCCCCCAATCCCCTAAATCTATGCTTATATTCTGTAATTCATTCTGTCTTTGGTAAGCTTCATTATTTTCCATTATTTTATCCTTTATATCACATATTCATTCATTCCTTGCTTCTTCCATCTTTGTGTTCATTACATTCAGGGTTTTTAAAATATCACTTACTGCCATTTTAATTTCTAGTTTTCAAAAAGAATTCTTTATTTTAGAGAGAGAGGGAACAAGTGGAGACAGGGGTCAAAGGAGAGAGAGAGAAGCAGATTTCCTGCTGAGTGTGGAATCTTACTGGGATTCTATCTCAGGACCCTGAGGTCATGATCTGAGATTAAATCAAGTGTTGGATGTTTAACCATCTAAGACTCCAGCCACCCCATTTCTGATTTTTTTTTTTTTTTTTTTTTTTTTTTACTCTTTTACCTCTGTGGTAAGGGCTTCCCTTTCATTTTTTTTCACCTGGTTTTCTTCAATTTTATTTTTTTATAATAAATTTATTTTTGTTATTGGTGTTCAATTTGCCAACTTACAGAATAGCACCCAGTGCTCATCCCGTCAAGTGCCCCCCTCAGTGCCCATCACCCATTCACCCCCACCTCCCCGCCCTCCTCCCCTCCCACCACCCCTAGTTCGTTTCCCAGAGTTAGGAGTCTTTATGTTCTGTCTCCCTTTCTGATATTTCCCACACACTTATTCTCCCTTCCCTTATATTCCCTTTCATTATTATTTATATTCCCCAAATGAATGAGACCATATAATGTTTGTCTTTCTCCGAATGACTTACTTCACTCAGCATAATACCCTCCAGTTCCATCCACGTTGAAGCAAATGGTGGGTGTTTGTCACTTCTAATGGCTGAGTAATATTCCATTGTATACATAGACCACATCTTCTTTATCCCTTTCATTCTTAACTCAAGCCAGTGAGCAGCCTTATGATTCTTGCTTTAAATTCTCCATCAGTTATATTACTTATAGCTATTAGACCCAGGTCTAATAGCTATAGACCCATAAACCCAGGTCTCTGGCTATTTCTTCTCCCTCTCCCTGTGCCCTTCCCCTTTCATTCTCTCTCTCTAAAGTAAATAGATATATCCTCCCCCCGCCCCCCAAAAAAAGGAACTCCAAGATTTAGGAATGTGATGTGGGCAGGTTCTGCAGTGTTCTTCTGGGAGAGTGTCTCCCTGTGCTGGAATTGAGTGAGATTTGACTTAGAAGCACAGATGCACCAGAATGCAAGGTCATGGGACTTGGAGCTAGCAGGCTCAGCAGCCAGTTTCAGAGTGGAGTTGTCCCGGTCAGGTCACTCTGCATTTATGCTGAGGGTCAGGGGAGGAAAATGGTGACTGCTGGCTCCTTTGTCCCTGGAGAGGTGTCTACATGAAAGTTACCTCTCATGGACATGCTCCCAAAAAGAACAAATAATCTCCCCCCAGGCTGTCCTCAGATCTTGCTGTCTGCCTCTGGTTGCTTGCTTGTCTTCTTTTCCAGAAGCAGGGCAGCATTGCAGGGCTCTATATCAGCCAAGCCTACAGACCTTTAGAACTCCAGTATTCAAACCCCAGATGGTTGCAAAAACTCATAAAAATCAGCCCCTCTCCTTTTCCCAGTCAGTGACTTTGGGGAAGTGTTCTCCTGGAGCATTCCCCGGGATACTCCTATCTCTCTCGCCTTTCTCTATGATCAGGGCTCCCTCCTCTTCACAGTGCTAATGCTCCATTTATCCCCCAAAGTGCACCTCTGCACTTCCTACCTTCTTCAGTGTGGCTTCTTATTTCATTCTATTTGTGGATTTTGTTATGTCAGTCTTCAGATCAATTTCTATGGTATTCAGAATGATTTGATAGATATCTAGTTGTGTTCAAGGAATAAGATGACCTTAGGGTCTTCCTACTGTGGATCCATCTTAGGTTCTCCTCTCACTCTTTTTTAATATACTATTTTATTTTTAAGTTGGACTGAATTTATTTTAGTTGAAAAATGAATTCACTTCAGTTAAGAACCTTAGGTAATCACATTTTAATTTCCAAATTAACATAATTGAAAATGCTTGCTGGTAATGAGTTAATTAATGATCATTTGGTGACTAAAAGTAAGCAGTTAATGTCCTTTTTTTCTTCCAGATTTGAAATTTTTATTATGTAATATGAAGTAAATTTTCCATCTCAAACAAATGCTTACTTTTGGAAAATATTACTATATTACATAGTTTCTTGTGATGAGAATATTTACCCATGATATATTTTAGGAAGACTAATTCCCAGATCAAGCTCATAGCTAGCTAATAATCTATAAATCTCTAAAGGCTCACTTAGTTTTAGTATAAAATATCCAAATTTATATATATACCTTCTTCTAGTTTGGAAGAAAAATATTTATTTCCAATTCAAGGACTTCTTATATTTTTATTCTAGCTTCTTTATTTAAATCTTCCCCCAGAAATAAAGATATAGCAGAATTGTCCCATGAACAATGATATTCATTCATCCATAGTGTTCAGGTGTACAGCTAATCTGGAGAGAATGGTAGGACTTTTGTGGGCTAGTGGTTGAACAGATATATCTATTTAAAAATGTGGTACAGAAAAGTTAACCCGGATCAAACCTCTAATTCTGCTTCATTAGAATTACGAGAATACTAAATGTATAATGTAATATACGCAACAGAAATTATCTGATACAAGGATATAAACAGCTTTGGGAAATGTAAAGTTTGAGCTTTTAGAGGAATTATTTGGAAGCAGGTCTGATTTATTACTCATTGCTAGATAGTATGTAACTCTCATCAATTTTTTAAATATAATGGCTCTCACTCTTAGTCTATTTTGCATCTCCTCAATCAAAATTATTTATCCTGAGGTAGACCTGTAATAAATTGCTTTCTTTTTATTAATTTATTTTTTAAATAAATTGCTTTCTAATGATTCATGAAAATGACCCATCTAGATTCCCCCTCATGAAAGATATAAACTCAATTTCCTTTCTAATGGTGGGAGAACTTCTAATTTCATGAGAAAATTTTATGCCAAATCTCTGTATCTATCACTTTTCCCTGAAAATTGGGAATCAGAAAAACCAGCATTCACTACTTAGGAATAAACTATAATAGAAATGAAACAAATATCTATCTATCAATATATGTCTTTATATTATATAAACCTGGAAATGATACAATGTTTATTGTTCTTTTGTCATTTTTTAAGCATTTAGGGAATATGCACTAAGTGTATAAGTAGTGTATTGAATAATGCCATCAAGCTGGATTGTTTCTATTATCACTTATGCATACTAAGAACACATTATTGCCCACAAGTTAAAACAAAATATTTACCTTCACAAAGAAAAAAAGGAATTTTATGAATATACAATTACTTTGTCAAATCTCAGTTATTTTAATCTTCCAGATTATTTTATTCTCTGTCTTCAACCCTAGAATAATATTGTTCTTAGGGAGTATACATGGAGAAAGTGATCTACTTCTGAGGCAGCAGTCCAAATGAGAAATCCTCTACGTCTTTTCAGAGCTGATCCTCTGAATCAGTCGTCTCAGGGCCCCCATTACCTCCTTATTTCTCATGCTGTAGATGATGGGATTGAGCATTGGAGTTAGGATGGTGTAGAAGACAGCCAGAGTCTTGTCTTCTGTTGGAGTTCGGAGGGATCTTGGGCGTAGATAAGTGTAAGCGAAGGGTGCATAGTAGAAAGTCACCACAGTGAGGTGAGTGCTGCAGGTGGAATAGGCTTTCTTCCTCCCTTCTCTTGATTGCATGCGGCAGATGGCAAGGAGGACCTGGCCATAGGAACATGCAATGCCAATGAAAGGAAACACAATCAAGAGTGTGGTGCTTACAAACACTGTGTACTCATAGATCCAGGTGTCCATGCAGGCCAATGTCAACATGGCTGGGACATCACAGAAGAAATGGTTAATGGCTCTGGATTGACAGTAAGGTATATTGAGGGCATATGCAGTGTGGGCACAGGAGTTGATTGAGCCCATTATCCAAGATCCTGTTATCATCAGCACACACACTCTTTTGCTCATACGAATGGAATAGTGGAGAGGAAAGCAAATAGCCACATAACGATCATAGGCCATTGAGGCCAATATTAATCCTTCTCCACCTGCTAAAGTCAGGAAGAAGAAGCTCTGAACCCCACAACCAATGAAAGAAATAGACTTGTTTCCAGAGAGATAATTAGAAGCCATCTCAGGGACAATGGTGGAGATGTAGCTCAGGTCCATGAGGGAGAGCTGACTAAGTAGAAAATACATGGGTGTGTGGAGATGGGTGTCTAGGAAGATGAGGATGATCATGCACAAGTTGCCAAAAAGTGCCATTAAGAAAATGAAAACAATGAGAATGAAGAAGAACAGGCCAATTCTTGATGGTGGAAATAACCCCAATAGGAAGAAATCTGTAGAATTTGGGTTATTATTTTCCATGGGGCATTACTTTTGTTTCCCCTAAAGATAGACACACATTAAATATAGAAAAATAAACTCTTATTAATTTGTTATTTTAATTACACTGTGATTTATTCAGGAATCATTGCAGCTTTAAAATAATAATAATAATAATAATAGTAATAATAAATACCAACAATAATAACAATATACAACTATTTTGAAAAGAAAAACATTTTTCCTCATAGATAAAATTTTTATTTTATATATTATAAATTAATGTAGATGTTTATTTTATCCACATATCCAATGCAGAAATATTTTTAAAATATTTTAAAGAAATCTGCAAATTTGTAATTACTTTATTAAGATATGTTTATTTTCCTACATAAATTTAACTATTAACAAAGGCAGACGTTACATCTCGTGTGTAGGCTTTATTAATCAATATAAATAAACTAAATTACAGACTCATATTTGAATGCATTTTTATAACACTTAGGGGATGCTTTTGTTATAATTAAGTCCAACATTTCTGAAACTATGGTAGCCTATTGGATCATATTGCAGACATATATTCATTTCTTTGGAATTCTGCTCAAAAATCTTGCCAAATCAAGCCTCTTAGCACCACATATCATTTTTTTACTGCTTTTTCCTCCAGAAATATACAATGAATTATTTTTGCCAAATACTATTTACACAAAGCAATTTTCTTCTTCCTTCTTACCCAAATTCCAAAAGCACTAGTTAAGTAAACACTTTTCATGAGAACTTATTCTTCAATTTTTTTGTAGCTTATATGACTACATTTAAGTTCTTAAAAAAAAGATGTACATTCTGTTCATCCGCTTCTCAATAGTTATATGATGTTATGCATTGTGTTATGGTACATTTTCTTACTTATTCCTTTTTTGCACTTTTTTGTTTTTGTATATTCAAAGCTATTTCCATTTCTAGATAAATGTGAGTTTAACAAATATATGTATCACCCTTCTCTCATACAGTTCAGTTAGTACAATAACAAATAATTAGAAGGAGGAGTTAAAATGGAAGAGAATTAGGGGGACCTTAAACTTGCCTGACCCCCTGAATATATAGAAGATGCAAGAGAATCCCTTACTTCAGCAATGGAAGAACTAAAATCTAGTCAGGCTGGGATTAAAAATTCTATAACTTACATGCAATATCATGTGGAGGTCATAAAAATGAGGATAGATGAAGCAAAGGAATTAATCAGTTGTGCAGAAATCTGTCGCCTACCCGAGTAATGAAATAGCAGGAAAATAAATCAAGGGACTGATTCCATTTGTAATTGCACCAAAAGCAATAAGAAAACAAGGAATAAACTTATCCAAAAAAGATAAAATATCTGTATCAGAAAACTATAAAACATTTATGAAAAAAATTGAAGAGGACACAAATAAATGGAAAAGCATTCCATGCTCATGGAATAGAAGAACAAACATTTTCAAAATGTCTAGACTGCTCAAAGCAATCTACACATTTAATGTGACCCCTATCAAAATACCACCACTATTTTTCACAGAGCTAGAACAAACAATCCTAAAATTTGTATGAGACCACAAAAGGCCCTGATTAGACAAAGCAATTCTAAAAGAGAGAAATAAAACTGGAAGCATCATGATTCCATATCTCAAGCTATAATACTAAGCTGTAGTCATCCAGACATGATAGTTCTGGCACAAAAATAGACACATAGATCAATGGAACAGAATAGAGAACCAAATAATGGACCACATATCCAATGCAAAAAAAAAAAAAAAAAAGGAAATCTCATCAACAAACGGTTTTAGGAAAATTGAGCAGTGACACACAGTATAGTGAAACTGAATCACTTTCTTACACCATACACAAAATAAACTCAAAGGTATGAAAGACCTAGATGTGAGATAGGAATCCATAAAAATGCTAGGGAAGAACAAAGGAAGCAACCACTTTGACCTCAGCATGGACCTCATTAGAACCCCTGAAACAAAGAAATTAAAAGCAAAAATGAACTATTTGGGATTTTATCAAGATAAAATGTTTTTTTTAAAAGATGTATTTACTTATTTACGATAGACACACACACACACACACACACAGAGGGAGGCAGAGACACAGGCAGAGGGAGAAGCAGACTCCACACTGGGAGCCCTATGCGGGACTTGATCCCAGGACCCCAGGATCGCGCCCTGGGCCAAAGGCAGGCTCCAAACCCCTGAGCCACCCAGGGATCACCCAAGATAAAATGCTTTTGCACAGCAAAGAAAACAACAGAACTAAAGGGAAGCTTACAGAATAGGAGAAGATATTTGCAGATTACATATATGCTGAAGGGTTGTATATAAAATCTATAAAGAGCCTATCAAACTCAATATACAAAAAAACAAAAACAAAAACCAGTTAATAAATAGAAGACATGAATAGATATTTTTCAAAAGAAGATATCTGGATGGCTAACAAAAGATACTTAACACTCTTCCCCAGGGAAATACAAATCAAAATCATGATGATATACCACCTCACACCTGTCAGAATGGCTGAAAATGACAACACAATAAATAACAGTTTTTGTTGAAGATGCAGAAAAAGAGTAGCCCTCTTTCACTGTTAATAGGAATGCAAAAAGGTGCAGCTACTCTGGATAACAGCTTGTATGTTCCTCAAGAAGTAAAAAATAGAGCTACTCTACAATCCAGCAAATGCACTACTAGGTATTCACCCAACTAATACAAAAATAGAGATTTAAAGGGTTCAAGCACTCTGATGTTTATAGCAGCATTATCAACTATAGTCAAACTATGGGGAGAGCTCAAAATTTCATTGACTAATGAGTGCATGAAGAAGATGTGATATATAGATATAAATAGATATTATAGATACAGATATATAGTTAGATATGCTGGAATATTACTCAGCCTTCAAAAATGAAATCTTGCCACTGCAATGATGTGGATGGAGCTAGAGTGTATTACACTAAGCAAAATAAGTAAGTCAGAGAAAGGCAAATACCATAGAATCTGACTTATTTGTTGAATTTAATAAAGAAAACAGATGAAGATATGGGAAGGGGGAAAGTAAAAGAGACAGAGGAAAACAACCCATAAAGGACTTTTAATGATAGAGAACAAACTGAGGGTTGATGAAGGGTGGTGGTTGGGGGCTGGGCTAAATAGTAATGGATATTAAAGATGGCACTTGTTGTGATGAGCCCTGGGTGTTGTATGTAAGTGATTAATCACTGAATTCTACTCTAGAGAACACTACTTCACTGAAGTTAATGAAATATCCACGAAGGCAAAAGAAACAAAAGCAAAAATGAACTATTGGGACTTCATCAAGATAAGAAGCTTTTGCACAGCAAAGGATACAGTCAACAAAACTAAAAGAAAACCTACAGAATGGGAGAAGATATTTGCAAATGATGTATCAGATAAAGGGCTAGTTTCCAAGATCTATAAAGAACTTATTCAACTCAACAGCAAAGAAACAAACAATCCAATCATGAAATGGGCAAAAGACATGAACAGAAATCTCACAGAGGAAGACATGGACACGGCCAACACACACATGAGAAAATGCTCTGCATCACTTGCCATCAGGGAAATACAAGTCAAAACCACAATGAGATACCACCTCACACCAGTAAGAATGGGGAAAATTAGCAAGGCAGGAAACCACAAATTTTGGAGAGGATGCAGAGAAAAAGGAACCCTCTTGCACTGTTGGTGGGAATGTGAACTGGTGCAGCCACTCTGGAAAACTGTGTGGAGGCTCCTCAAAGAGTTAAAAATAGACCTGCCCTATGACCCAGCAATTGCACTGTTGGGGATTTACCCCAAAGATACAGATGCAATGAAAAGTAGGGACACCTGCACCCTATGTTAGTAGCAGCAATGTCCACAATAGCCAAACTGTGGGAGGAGTCTCGGTGTCCATCGAAAGATGAATGGATAAAGAATATGTGGTTTATGTATACAATGGAATATTATTCAGCCATTAGAAATGACAAATACCCACCATTTGCTTCGATGTGGATGGAACTGGAGGGTATTATGCTGAGTGAAATGAGTCAATCGGAGAAGGACAAACATTATATGGTCTCATTCATTTGGGGAATATAAATAATAGTGAAAGGGAATAGAAAGGAAGGGAGAAGAAATGGGTAGGAAATATCAGAAAAGAAGATAGAACATAAAGACTCCTAACTCTGGGAAACAAACTAGGGGTGGTGGAAGGGGCGGAGGGTGGGGGGTGGGGGTGAATGGGTGACGGGCACTGAGGGGGGCACTTGACGGGATGAGTACTGGGTGTTATTCTGTATGTTGGCAAATTGAACACCAATGAAAAATAAGTTTATTATTTAAAAAAATAAAAAATACAATTATATTTTATCATTAACAAAGAAATATTTTTATTAAGTAAATCTAAGTTTAAAAAATTGGTAAGGAGACCAGAGGATGAATTCAGAGATGAAAAAAAATAAGAATTTTTTCATAGAAGAACTTTTATTAAACAATCACCTAAAAGGAAAAGAAGAAATGGCATCTTGAGATTATTCAATGTGGGAATGAGTGGTCGCAATAACCAGAAAGAATATCATCAATAAGTAAGCCCAGCACATGCCAAAAAAGGATTGCAGTGCTTCATTATCTAATACTCTTCTAGGACCAAAGCCATCAGACTTTTGAGGAAGTTATTACACCAAAGACAGGCACACACACACACACACACGCACCCCAATATAAAAATTATTGGGATAAATTCAATAAAACTTTAATATAAAAATATGTTTTCAGAGAAATATGGGAAGATGTTAAATCCAAAGTAAAAATATCATGTGTTATATAAAGTCAAAAATGCCAGACAACAGTAAAGGACTTCTGGAAATTAAAGGGATAATAATTAGTATCATTAATGTAATGAGAATTTCAAAAAATAAGGTGGAGAAAAATCAACCATAAAGAAAACAACCATAATGAAACAAGATTTGAGATTTAGAACAGATAGGAGAATGAGAGGATTAATATAAA